TTAAGCTATTTATGCATAAAAGCTGTCGTTTAGAGTTGGCATTCAGATTCAAATATGGTGGTTTAAAATGCCATTCTGAAATCTTAATTGTCACTCAAAGTCAGTCATATAATGCAAAAGGCATGTGATAGGAAGCAACGGGGTCGTAAATTTGTCAAAATAGTCGTCTTCGTGGTGTGGAAATGGGCAGATTATCGATGGGACAGACTCCCACAGGGCGACCCCTTTCACTGCAAACTGTTTCAATCGTAATTCTTGTAAAACGACCTGCAACGATGTTTATTGCCGGATTTTGGTTTCTGGTATAATGGCTCCGAATAGGGTGTTTAACTTTTCCATAGAGAGTGGATTAGTAGCTGTAACAGCGGGTGTCAACTCCTGATACCAGACGTTTGGTGGAATTGGCGTAAAGGTTTTCGCAAGAATTTTCAACAAAGCGAAAATTTTGCAGAAATAACTACCTAAATATATTTGAGGAATACGGAACGAACGACTGTAAAATTGTATTTTTTCAATTGTTCAAAAATGAATAGAATCCTAACATTATTTCGATTTTAAGTAGAACTTCTATATACGTAAGTATATTACCTACATTACATTTTTTTTTTAACTTTGATTTCTTCATTTTTCCAAACTCCGGATATTGCATTATGAATTATCTTTTCGAATTTCGAATTCAAATTTCTATTATTATCCTTCGGGACTAATTAAACTAAGAGTTATGTTATTTTGAATGGTTTTTGAATGATTATAGTTTGTTAGTCATTATCGAGCGATTGTAATCAAGGGTTAATAATACACACATAGAAGTGATTCCTTGAAACGGAAATTAAAATATTTGACGATATAGTAGAAATGCCCCCCAACTTTTAAACTCCCGTAACTTCACAATTTGCAGCGTACAATTATTTGATTAGTATTTCTAAGATGAGCTTTTTTGAGAAAAACAAACCGAGAAAAAAAATCCGAATAGTCAGTGCAAAAATTGTGTCAATAAACCAATCAGTATTTATCGATTGGCTTAATACTTACAGATACCTTTTAATTTAGTTATGATTAAAGGTTATACCATAAAATTTAATTTCATAGTTCCGCAGATTGATATGTTAGTATCATAAAAACCCCTCAAAAAAGACGTTTGAAATGAGACTATTACCTAAAAAAATAAATATTGGTATCAGAATCCCTTGGCAAAAGTGAGTTAACTACAAAATTGTTTAAAATTAGGCGAAATGTCCTTATAGATCCAAACACTTAGTTTTTCTACAAAGTACTTAATAAAACTACTCAAATTTCTAATTGTTGTTCAGCTACCAATTATAAAGAAAAACAAATTGTGGTGTCGTAATTCTTTTGCAGATTTTAGAGTTAACTAACTACAATATTTGTAAAAACATTGCTGTAAATAACACTAGAAAGGATTAAATACAAGTATCTAAAGGATTGTTTTTAGTCGTAAATAGAATTAGCCTTTCCGTCGGAGTTATTCTAAACGATTTTGTATGTAAGCTAATTCAGGTTCGTCGCTTGACCTAACGTTGATGTCTCTCGCTATTTCCTATGCTTAAAGAGACAGCGGGTAAATTTTACGAAATAAAACTGGCGCAGCATGCATTATAACATCAGGAATTCATAAAAAGATGATAATAAACAAACAGTTCGGGCTATTTTGTTGAAAACAGCGGTAGCAAAATAATTACGCACTTTGAAGTAGAGCTCATATTAGTTGGTCTAGTTTGAAAAAATAATTTTTCGTTTGCTAAAATGTCTTTATATTTTTATTATATTAAGCAAATGCCAAAACAAACGATCCTATATATTGGGAATGTGGTGTTGACGAGTTAAATTGAAGTTTGAAGNTATTTAAATACCAGTCGTACAATGTTGAATCTTAGCACGTAATAAAAAAATTATTTTCTTTTTCTCTTTAATGTACTTATTTGTGTATTTCTTTATATACCTGTTCGTTTAGGTTGAGGCGGTAGATGGCGACTTGTGTTATATCTACTAGAAATAATCGATCTTCGTTGTTGTGGGAGATGACCTTCTTTTTTTTTAGCATCTAATGTACTTTATTCTTTGCTTTCTACGTTTTTTCTGTGTAGTTTCTATTACCATAATCATGATCTAGCAGCCTTTGGGTGCTCAGGAACAAAGCGCACGCGATAAATGTGATTCTTTTTTGTTTTTACAACAATGAGCGATGCCATTATAAAAAAAGGAAAATCGACATTTTGATGTATTTGAACTGAATTATACGGAAAGAATGTTTCTTTATTGTTTTCCAAGAAGATTAAAATTAAGCGTATTGTGTAGGAGGGTGAATTTTGGAGGTGTTACTATCGGTAATTGTTATTATTTATTTATGTGTAAGGAAGATAGGTCTCGGATTTTGTTTTTGGTCACCTGGACACACCTTCTGTGATTTTTTCACACTTCCCACGCAATACGGAGCATTGAATGCGTTAAGTTTAGTTAGACAAGCCTACGCAGTGTTTGTCGCGTTGACACACGGGAAAAAGTGTAAAGTATATTTCTTAGACTTCCTCGCGTCACGATATTTTGATTAAAATCAATTGCTTGCTTTTTATCGGGCTTCATATTTAACGATAAACATGGTTGTTATTTATATGGAACAAATTACAGGAAAACTTGATAGGGTTTTTTAAGAGCTAGTCTTCCATTTCGAATACGAAAAATTANATTCTCAACTATCTGGAATACCAGATAGTTACAATCCAGAAGAAGTGGAAGCAAGTTCGAGCACGTCTGATTCTTTCGGTGTTATTGGTGATGGACCGTTTTTCGTAACCAAATTACTTCAAAAAATATCCGCGTTAGATAGTACATGTAAAAATTGTATACAAGTAAGTCTTCGAAAACATCAAATATTGTATAAACCTATACATATATTAACTTTATTGTTTGTATCTGTATAGGAAACCAGGTTGAAGTTGTGGCCTCCGCAATCGGAATGTGAAGAGGAGCAAAAGCGTAGGGAAGATAAAGAACGGGAAGAAAGAAGGCGAAGGGCGAAAGAACGACAGCAGAAACTTATGGCTGAGTTTGCTTCTAGACAGAAACAGTTCATGGAAAAAATGGAGACCGAAGCAAGTGCCACAAGTAAGTCTCGCATTAATACTGTTCAATAGCCTTTGTAGGTAACATCTCCTACTTTTTGATATGTAATATCGTACATCTCGGTATATACGTATGTGAAACTATGAAAGTGATTTCGTGAATGCGACGGAAACGCGTTACCGGAATTAAGAAAGAGAAGCGCGCGCTATTTAATCAATGCTGTCTACATTTGGCGTTTGCCTAAAGAACAAGGAAAAGGGAGAAGGAAGACAACTGTCAACCGTTCGGTCTGCTAATATTGATTTTTAACAACATATTGCATTGCCATATAGTAATTTGCGTTTGTTTGTTGCCAAGGTTACATGTTACACATCATGTGAATACGATTTTAATGTGGAATAGCTTACGAGCAAAAAAAAATATTATAGAGTGATGAATTGTAAATTAATTTTAAACTTTCTTGTCTAAAGACATGAAAATTAAACATTAAAAATAATTATTTAGGTATGGACTGGAAAAACGACGAGAATATTCTGATAAGCAAGCAGGAGTACGACTGCGTGATTTGTAATCAGAGTACTCCAAGTACTGATGACAAACCAATGGGGTTAGTCGTACTCGTGCAGACCACAAGCGTGATAGGACATCGGCGACGCCAAGGCCACGGAAACGAAAGGGCGACATTGCCTACCTGTGACGAAGAACGGGAGCATTTCCGAAGGGATGACACGTTGACTTGCGAGTTCGACAGAAGGGTAGAAGAATTGAACCGATATTTTGACTCGGTCAGTTAACCTTCTACCATCTAATAAAAAATTATTGCTGTATTAATTTGACCTTCTTTTCATAGCCTTCCTGGTTGCTGTCTATAAATATTGGTTGGGAAGGCGGAGTCCATGTTCAAACATGTGGACATCATCTTCATCTGGATTGTCTAGAGTCATATTTGCACTCGTTAGCACAGCAAAGACAACAAAGTTTATCGCCTGATGAGTATGTGAAAATTTTGTAAAATATATGTTGATGAGATTTGCTTTTATGTCGACCGTTTTTATTTTAGTGGCGAATACCTCTGTCCATTATGTAGACAATTAGCTAATTCTGTACTTCCCCTGTCACCCCAGTTAGGAGATTGCTCTCAGATGGTGCGATCACGGCCTACCAGTATGTCTGACGCTCTCAATGAGCTTAGTGATTTTCTTAAAGAAAACGAACAAACGCCTGTAAGACTTTTGTTTTTTATTATATTGTAATACACACTTTGATAAATGTACAAAAGTACCATTAATTAGTTAGTTGTCGTACCTCATTTGCTCTGGTAAAATAGAAAAAAAAATTCTTACAGAATACTACTAAGTTATCAGAAGCAATGGGTAAAGCAATGGAAGACATGACAAGTAGCACGCAACTGAAACCCATGTTCAAGCCAAAAGGTGACAAGCCTAGTCACCAGAGCCTATTCCTCTTTGTCACTTCTATAGCTCGCACCAATCTGGAGGTGGAATTGATTCAAAGGGGTGGCAGTCTTGTGATAAATGCAAATGAGCCACCAAATCCCTTACTACCAAAAAGGGACTGTATAGGTAAATTAATATTATGATCCCTAAATGGATTTTCAAATGTTTGATTTGTAAAATATTATGTTCATTATTATTTTGCAGTACCATTACTTCATGTTCTTGCTGTCCATGCCCGTGTTTTGGCTTTGTGGCCGGCATGGATGACCTTCCAACAGCTCTGTGGTTTACCCTCGGCTCCCTCTTCTTCAATGTCTCTCGCGCCCGTCGAACGAGAAGTTCCTTTACTACTTAGAGATCCAGTTGCTTTGCTCTTGCAATTCGTTCTTCTATTGCCTCTTCATTTGGATCAATGTAAGTAGTTTGTTTTTAATAAATACTTAAATAAATTTTATGACATACCTCGATGTTGTTGTCTCTACTAGTCCCTTGTGTCCTGAGAGAAAAAGCACCGATACAGGTCCTTCCGTCTTTAGGCAACACAGTCATTTACTCACCACGAACATTCACAAGTTTTCCAATGAATTAATCAAGATCGCACAAAATACCTGCATGAGATCAGTCAGTAAGTATAAGAACACAGAAATAGAAGGCGAAGAATAAAAAAAAGCACTCGAACAACGACAGCACCGAGTCCGCACCTTCGATCGGGTTTCTCGCCTGAGCGCACGTTGATCTTATTTTAGGTTGGTCTTATTGAGGCACTCTCAACACCGTCCGCTGCGTTCGCATAAGTCACGATAGTTAACAGTAGTAACGAAAAGTTCCTGCCAGCGAGCGTTCTTGTTTGTCTGATCCGGCAAGGAATGAGAGAATTCGGAGGAACTCCTTTGCAGGAATCGATGAGAGAGAGATGCCGCCTCTGGTGGGGACGGTACTCTACCTGTTGTTGTCGTCTTCGGCGTCGCGCCGAGCCAGGTAGGTGCTCTTGGACGTCTTTCTGGTGGGGCGTAAAGTGGGGTGAAATATTGATGTTTGAATTAATGTCGCGATCGCGATTTTTATGTCGTTAGATCCAAGTCATTGGTGTAAGTATGATTTTGGGGAGGGGTCGTGTGCGGACGGCGCGGCACGGCTTCGGCCGGTGCTGCCGCGACGGACACTTTGTCGAGATCGTTGCGGAAGGATAGAGCACGCCACGCCGGAGACGAAACGAGAAAACCGCTGCTCGAATACTTCAACTTTTTCTATCTGCTAGTCGTTGCTCTAGTTTGACTCGCCTTGTGTGTATTCGGCAAAACGTCACCAAATATTAATGTGTAAATTCATTTAGTTTTGATCCACTTTAATTTACCTCAAAGTAATCAGGAGAAATTGTCACACCCTCGCCGGGAATCGAGCCCGGGACTTTTAGCTTTACGCACTAATGCTCTGACCACTTAGCTACGACAGGTGATAGCAATATAATCTAATTCATGAAATAAGTACACACTTGCCGATTTCATAAAAACTCATGGACACAAAATTATCTTTTAATAATTTCTTCACAAAAGGTTCGCCATAAATAAACCTTACGATCTAAAGCAATCAAATAAAAGAATTCTTGGGTAAACGTTGGGTTAGGTTAGACCCATAAAAAGACAAAATTTACGTAGTTGTCCTAGTTATGCCATTTCTTCTGTTTAGATGCATGTGAACTAAAAAAAAACCTCTTTGATGTGCATATTTTAGTGCCTACAATTGCATCTATTGTAACCTTGACCAGAGCCTACTGAGTCTTTACTAAGGTACTGTGTATTTATCTATTTACAATATACCAGTTTTAAATTTGTATTCCTGGCAGACATTACTACTGCAATAAATAAAATATCACTCTCCATTTTTACACTTTAATATAATTTTTTGTAAAAAAAAAAGTTAGTGGTGATGAATTTTGTAAAAGAAAGGCGAAATAATTACTAAGGAAAATTTCTATAATGTCTGATCAACAATTACCATGTTCGTCGGAAGTATTTTGCAATCATTATTAATGAATTTATTTGTTAAAAAATACGACTGGGGATTGTAGGAAAATTAAAAAAAAAATACCTTCAACTGTCTTTTCATGTAAATAATAAGGATTTTGAGAGATTTCTGACATAGAAATTTGTAGTTTCTGTGTTTGGTGAGCCTTTGCCGTTTTCTGTATATGGGTCAGACGAAACGTAATGTTGAAGCTAGAATTAAGAAACATTTAAAAGATATTTCGTCAAAAAAAATTAAGTTCAGAAAATGAAAAAATTTTTCATTCGGAAAACAAGGAGAGAAAGCTGGATAAATTAGAATACGTTTAAAGCAAATTCAAAAGTACTCCGGTTATGTTAGGCAATTAAGACAAATATATGCGTTGTGTATAACAATATTTTTAATTTAGTCTGACGAAAGACCATTTGGAACATTAAAAAGCAAAAAGTTTTTCTTTCGGTAACTTTTGAGAGGGTAAATTATATAGTGATCAAAGAGTTTTCTGGTTCATGTGCCTATTAAGCACACCCATGATACGTTATGTTGGTTGAAACGTGTCAAAAACAAAAGCAAAATAAACTTAAAGGGAAGATACAATTCTACAATTTTTGAAAAATTTATTATTTTCGCTTGGAGATAATTTCCCATTTGCACACAGATTTTCCACCAGTCCTGTATCTTAAATTATTTAATTTTGTAAGTACTTATTTCTGCTTGGTTACGTAGATTAGTCTAATGTAGTCGCATACTGTAATACAACTTGTTAATTAATTATTTTATATAGATACATGGTGAATACATTTGTATATGATGTGTTTTCAGTTAGTCCGATGATGCGATGGCACAGTGTGGGATCGGGAAGCATATGTTCCCAACATGCATTTTTTCAATCAGTTTACAGTTTATTCTGATTATGTTTTATGTTCTTAATTGCGTATATTTCAAGATGAATGTCATCTGGATGATATGCAATGACTGTAAATTACATAAGACAGCTTAACGAGTTTAGTGTACGAAGCTATACAGATAGATAGCAACATATTAAGCGTTAATTTCGACTGGTTGTGTGGCTAAGTTTAATTTAATTTAACAAGTAATAAACTACATAGTTTGTCTTAAATAATCGAGAAGCAGTTGATCTCAAATTGATACCGGATAATTCTCTATATGCACTAGCTAATTTAGATGATTCCAAAATTATTAGGAATTTTCCTAAAAGAATCTCTATTTTTCCAAAATAAATAGTCCAATTGTATCTTTTTAGCAATTAAAAACAAAATTTTTCCTAGGAATTTGATTGATCTTATGGAAGCAAAGAATTGAGAATTTAAATTACATTTTAAAAAAATTATAAAGCAACAGAGACATTTGGCTTTCAATTTAAAATAAATAGTTCAATTGTATCTTTTTAGCAATTAAAAACAAAACTTTTCCTAGGAATTTGATTGATCTTATGGAAGCAAAGAATTGAGAATTTAAATTACATTTTAAAAAAATTATAAAGCAACAGAGACCTTTGGCTTTCAATTTAAAATAAAACTTGTACGCTTTCGTCCTGAGTGACTGACATACGATCGACACACAATTGATACCGGCGATGGACAATTGCACTCGGACAGGTAAAGTATGATAATTTCATAGAACAGTTGCACTCGGCCTACGAAAAATAGCCTTTATTAAATAGGACAATTGCACTAAGTTCTGAAGCAATTAATTTCTATAGTTATTACGTATACATAATAAATTAATAATAAATGTATCTATCTAAATACACATACGTGTGAACGATTGTCTACAATTAAGTATCAACAATTCAGTATCTTAAAATTATGTCAAACCGTTGCACATTTGTAAAATGTTTATAATTTGAATGTATGTATGTGTTATATTAAAAATAATTTGACAAAATACCCCGTGAGCATAAATGTACTTATATTGTTATTATGAATTTATATACAGAGGTGAAATTTATACCTATATACTAGTCGAGTGCAAATGTTCCATTAGCTGGAGTCTTCCCGAGTGCAATTGTCCTATGTAATTACACTAATAAAATTTGGTTCTTATCTTAATTACCAATCCCAAGTGCAACTGTATTATGTCCTTTGAAACTGTTAGATTGATTTTGAATGAAATTTGACAGCACATTTTGACTATGAACGGATTTTGCGATAATCGCTATGTAAAGGGTTGAAAAGGAAAAACAAAAATTTAAGAAATCCAAATAAGTCAGATGTCATTATACAAAAGATATCGAAATTCTAAGAATCATAGATTTTTGTTATGTACATACTTCGGACGAGCAAGCCGTTACAGGTAAGCGCTAGTAGGTATCCGAGATAAAAATGTTCAGTCTCAGAGTCTCTGAAAGCGAGACTCGAGTCTCCGTCTCTCATCGAGTCTCTCTGGTGTCGCTGAGAGAGACTGTCAAAACAACTGTTTAGCGTCTCTGAACGAATCGCTCATAGAGAGATCCTCATTTCGTATCCAGTCTCTGAAAGAGAGACTCGAATCTCTCAATAAGTGGTGTTTAATAAGTTCAACACATTCCAGAGATCCTAGTTTTTCTACGAGAGACACGAGTCCTCAATTTTTCTATTTTATTCATTCAGTCTCTCTGTGAGAGACTCGAATCTCTGAATTAACAATTTTATCGGTCGAGTCTCTCATACAGAGATTGTGAGAGATTCACCTAGGCAATAACTGGGAGATTGTGAAAGACTGCGAGAAACTCTTTCAGAGACGCTGAAAGACTCTGAGAGACTGAAAATTTTTGTCTAGGGTATGTACATATATGAAAAATATTATAATAATGATATAGGTACTACCAATCTACTATTGCAGATTAACTTGTCTACTTGTGTATTTTCATATGCTAAGTGGACAAATGTAAAAATTCATAGTCTCAAAAATTAGATAGTTTTGGAATATATTTTAAGAAATTCTTTATCGCTTGATTTTCAGTATTGCTAATTTTTTTTTGGTAAGAACTTATCACATTTAATTCTATTATATTGCTGATAATTGAAGGCAACAACTGGTAGTAGTTTCCTTTTAAAATTTGGCGTCCTGCCTTTGGGGCCTTTCGTCAGGTGAATTACAGAATTCGTAAGACCAGCAAAATCTGTCTACCTTGAAATGTACAGTTTCGCCTGATCGATCAATTACCGACGAAAGTGTATGACAACTCCGATACCGTCGCTGTCTAGATGAGTACCTATCTAATAATTTGTGTAATATGTGAATTGGATGTGTTGGATTTTGGCCTGGAGGACACTTGGTTTTATTATTGTCTGTTGTAGATGTGTCTATATGCCATATGAAAAATTACTAAAAATAAATATTAGTAATTCATGTGCGCCATGTTCCTTGTAGCGATTTCAATGATGGCTCAGGAAATAGTGTGAATGAGAGAAAGAGAGAGAGAGAGAGAGAGGAGTGATCATCTTCACGCTGCGCTGTAGATGTCATTATTATATATTACGGAAGTAAAACAGCTACCTATTTAACTACGTCTTTTATAAATAAAAACCAATCGCTTCACTGATGTGTTAAGTATACTTTTATTATCAAGGTTTTCTACTTAATACGTTATTACTAATATTATATACTTACTGTGTCGTGACTAAAGTGACGAAAAGGAATTCGTTTTTATTATTTCGTCATTTTATCATCCTTTGTTGATATAAGAAATAAATATATTTTACTGATCGTACAAGGTAATGCCTAACAGTTATTTAGAATTACAAAAAAATAATTAACTTGCTTGATATTATAGTAAAAAATCATCTTGAATCGTATATAACGTATTTTCCAATAGTTAGTGTTTTTTTTTGTTTTGTCGAAGGATCACCTCTTATAGAGGAAATACTTGAGTAAATTGAATAATTTATTCACAACTTT